CCCTGGGGGCTCCCTCGGGGGCCCCCTGGAGGGCAATCTTAGGGGCCCCCTTGAGAGTTCCTTTGGGGCATATCTTGAGGTTTTCTTATGGGGCCCCCCAGGGGGCCCCCATTAAGCCTCCAAATGTGCTGCTGCAGCAGTTTAGTACCCCCTTCTATGCCTCCCCGGGGGGCCCCCCCTCGAGGGTCTCCTATTTAGGGTTTATATTAAGACACAAACAGGCAACAAGGGGCAACAAGGGGCCCCCTAAGACCCTCACCGGGGGCCCTTCAAATACTGTCTGCTGTGCATACTCGGGGGCCCCCCATGGTGGCCCCCTAGCTTTTATGGGGTCTAATAGGAGGGGATTTCTTACAGGATTAGGCAGCAGCAACAGTACCCTTTCTTGTTGGGGGGGCCCCCTTACCTATAATAGCCTTAATAATAATAAAATAAATAATAAAAAAGAAGAAAAAGAGGAAAAAAAGACAAAAATATTTTCTTACCTAAAGAGGCCCTATTATGTACTTGGAGAAGATGGCAACTTCAAGATTGAATCCAGGTATCTAGGGTTTAGGGTTTAGGGTTTAGGGTTTAGGGTTTAGGGTTCAGGGTTTAGGGTTTAGGGTTTAGGGTTATTGATTTTTCGTGCATGCAGTGTATGATGTCTGGCGAGTGCAGCAGCTGCTGTTGTTGATTTGCTGCTGCTGTTCTTGCTGCTAGTGTTGCTGCTGCACCTGCTGTTGCTGCTGCTGCTGTTGCTGCTGCTAGTGTTACTGTTGCTACACTGCTGCTACTGCTGTTACTACTACTACTACTCCTACTGCTGCTGCTGCTGTTACTGCTGCTGCTGCTGCTGCTGCTGCTGCTGCTGCTGCTGCTGCTGCAGGGACCCTCCAGCTGAGGCAATATATGAGGGTTGGGCAGATTTAATAGAGGAGGAGGAGCGTCTATGGGGTGCAGCAGCAGCAACAGCAGCAAAAGAGGTAATAAAAGGAGAAAAAAAATTAACAATAAAAGAAAAAGTTAACGAAAGAATAATAAAAGGAAGAAAAGCATTAATTACTGATTATGCATTTAAGCAACCTTTATGTAAATATACACTTATTATTGTTCGAACTAAACAAGGTACCTAAACCCTAAACCCTAAACCCTAAACCCTAATATAAACCCTAAACCCTAATATAAACCCTAAACCCTAAACCCTAGGAAAAGCATTAATTATGGATTATGCATTTAAATACTCTTTATGTAAATATACACTTATTATTGTTAGACCTAAACAAGGTATGTATATAAACCCTAAACCCTAAACCCTAAACCCTAAACCCTAATATAAACCCTAATAAAAGCATTAAACCCTTAATGTTGTGGTGTATGTACACCTAAATTAGGTCCTTATTGTGATTTAATGAAGAAAGATGAAGAAAGATTACAATCATTAATTAAAAAAATAAGATTTAAATATGATTCCTCTATCCTAGAAATTAGAGATGTTAAGATGAAGGTATATAAACCCTAAACCCTAAACCCTAAACCCTAAACCCTAAACCCTAAACCCTAATAAACCCAAATAAACCCTAATATAAAGATTATTTCAATATCATTCTTCTTTTATATAAGATATGTAAACCCTAAACCCTTAAACGTATTAATAGACGAACAACCCTGCATGTCATTTGCTGTTGCTGTTGCTGCTGCTGCTGCTGCTGCTGCTGCTGCTGCTGCTGCTGCTGCAGGTAAATATGCCTCTATGCGAAGTATTTATTGCTGGTCCTTTTCCTGGTACTGTAAGAATCTTCTATGCTAGAGGAGCAACATTACAGGTATTATATATATCTCCTGCTGCTGCTGCTCCTGCTGCTGCTGCTGCTGCTGCTGTTGCTGCTGCTTCTTATACTCCTCCTCTTGAAGAATTCCTTCTTCATCCCATATAGACTACCTAAACCCTAAACCCTAAACCCTAATTACAACAACAACAACTACTACTACTACTACTACTACTACAACTATACAGGAGAAGCAGCAACATCTGCTGCTGCTCCTTCTTCTTCTTATAATCCCCTATTTCTTCTTCTTATTCTTATTCTTCTTCCTCCTCCTCCTTCCTCCTCCTCCTTCTTGTGTTTTTTTTTTCTTTTTTCTTCTTAGTATCGTGTCCGTCCTCGTTTTCGTACAATCTGTGAATTATTAGAAAAAGATGAAAGATTACAACAAAAATACGGAGGAGGAGGATGTCCAGGTCTATTCCCTACATGGGATCAAGGAGGAATTCTTGAAGAAATTGATGAATGTATTAATCAACCACCACAACATTTAGAGGTAAATTTAGGGTTTAGGGTTTAGGGTTTAGGGTTTAGGGTTTAGGGTTTAGGGTTTAGGGTTTAGGGTTTAGGGTTTAGGTAGTGTAGTATTCCATACATGGGGTCAAGGAGGAATTCTTGAAGAAATTGATGAATGTATTAATCAACCACCACAACATTTAGAGGTAAATATATATATATATATATATATATATATA